TAAAAATAGTCAAGCGTATTCACCTTAACGTAGGAGGTAAATTGACATTGGTATACTTTCGTTTATTGATTACTGTACAGTGCAGGTCAACCTGTATTTTATTCAATACAATTAAATAGGTTAATTTGACGTTATAGTGAATCAGATATCTATTTAATGCATAATATTTGAGTATAAACTACACCATATAGTAATACTTTTATCCATATGACTTGATAGTTAAATATTTGTGTATAGTAAATCATCTGGAATACTATATTATTTATTGATACCACAGAATCTTCGTTTTTATTGTATAACGATAATCTTTGATAAGATACAGTTCTGAAAACAATTTATCTGTTACTTTTATAAGAAACGATTTGGTAATATTGGAATGTATCGATGTAGTAGTCTTTTGATGACATCGATAAGTAACAAAAATCTTCACTAGACAAAGTGAAGAAGCTTGGCATTGATTTAACTAATAAAAACATACTAGTCATGCATATTTTTATTTATACGTCATTATCATAAACATAATTTAATGAAAAATATTCTTAAATGTGAATATTATTTGATTATCTTTGCCAACGACGTAAAATAATTTGCTGTACGTTTTCAAAATGATTCTAGGCAGAAAACTTAAATAAAAATCATCTAGATCAAGTATTAAATTTTTGAATTAATTTGTAGAAGCTTTCTATCGTATCAAATATTTTCTTATCTTAAAATTTAATAAACTTGATTTTATCAGTACTGATATATTCTTCTATAAGCTTATTCTCTGGAATAAATATGTTCATAATCATATACTTTAATAAAACGATAATATAATCCTGGCGTTGTTTTCGACAACGTAAACATATATAGAATAAACACCAAATAGGACCAGTTATATCAAAGATTGGTGTTACCCAATATCCTTATTTACTATTGATATAATCAAAAGAAAATAAGAATTAGTATAAAGAAGTTATTTACTAAATAATTTGAAACCAAATTTCATGATTAAAATCAGCAAAGAATTTCAAAATAACTGAACAAATCTAGAAAAACATGATTTAATTTTTTTAGTTTTTTAACTTACTCAAAATATGAATACATTTTAATTGTGATAGATTTGAAAGATATAAATTCATGAAACACTAAAATAGGACATGCGAAATTTGAGAATCCTGTTCTCTCGATTAAGCATCTTAATAAATCCCTTGAATTCATCTATTAGCGTAGAATAGAAACTTTACTTAATAATGAACGATTCCAATACATATATAATGATGACCATATTTCAATCGAAATTCTCTTTCAGCTAATATTGAATTTGTAAATAAATCTATAACTATTACTTTTATATTAATCGATGATAGTATGATTTTCTTCATTGGTATTGTAAAAAAAAAATTAGTTTTTGATACATTGGACTAAGATGAAATTGATTTGAATATTTTAATTGTTTCTGAATTAAATATATACGTATTGAACATATAGATAATCTAGTATTATTTAAAATCAATGCTATTTGAAAGGTATATTTTGAAAAAGATTCAATCGATATTTCCGAAATTGAAACTAAACATCTAAATAATTATACATAATAAAAATAATTAAATGTAATATTGTTTACTCAGATGCAGTCCATTAACGTTGTTTTAATGTTATATCAAAACGAAATTGATGTTCATATGGTATAAGAAATTCAAATGTAATATTGTATCAAATATAAACAGTGGCGGATCTAGCTATTCGGCGAACCGGCAACCGCCACTCCCTCGAAAATAGATACTTCGACAAATACTCAAAACAGTTAGAACACTATAGGTTTCTCTCTTAAAAAATAATTGCATTTTCCACTTTGTTTTTGTAAACCGCCACCCCCTCATGAAAATCCTGGATGCGCCCCTGTTTAGAGTTTCTTTAGACTGACAAAAAGTATTAGAGAAACCATCTATCATTTCTGTTTCAGATATGATAGTAAATTTAGATCACTTACACCAGTAATTGTAATTTTATTAGTAGTAAGTCAGATGAAAACGTCATTTCTTTTTTATTATCACTAAAAGAGTTTTTCAAAAAAAATAAATCTGTTTATTTTCTTCAATACATATAAATTATAAGTATAGTTTCAATGTTAAATCCTAAATGGTAGAAAACATTTTTATTTTGTTCTATTTCGATTAATAACTACAACCACTTCAATCATAAGCATTTTTTTTATTTGAATAAATATTAATTTAGGTTTATGTAACCTTCTTACTCAGATGAATTTTAACTGTATGTATGATAGTATATTTTGAGTTGTTCATGCTTATCACAAAAATAACTACCATAGTAAATTTCATTTTCGAGAAAATAGTTTGTATTTGTCTAGAAAGATTTATTTACGCAACATTTTTTTATCTTAGAGATTATTTAGCTAGATAGATTTTGTTTTATTTAAATTAATTGAAAAATAACGACAAAAATTATTATCAATTATGAAATAAGGTATAATTAGCTGTTATCTCGATGTTTTTTTATAACTTTTTTGTTAGTAATTTATTTTCGAAATAGATAGACTAAATTGATCTATTTGTAGAGGAATCAGATGGGAAAAAATTCTTTTTCACTCTAGCTGAATAAAGTTTCGATGAATCTATGTAGTACTATGATGAGATTCAAATACTGTTGCTTATTTGAGTAAGTTAAAAACGGTTACGGCCATACCACGTTGAATACACCAGTTCTCGTCCGATCACTGAAGTTAAGCAACGTCGGGCTCGGTTAGTACTTGGATGGGTGACCGCCTGGGAATACCGAGTGTCGTAACCTTTTTTTCTTTTTTTCCTCTCTCTCTCTCAATCAAGTGAAGCTAATCTTCTATTTTACAAAACTATGCATTAAAATAAAATAATATATAATTATAATATTTCCATTAAAGGACACTTTTTGCTGAATATCGTATTCAAAAATCTATGATAAATTGTTTAAGTGTAAAATTTGAAAAGATATAAAAAAAGTCGAAACACTTTTAAAGTCGGTTGCAGATCTAGCTATTTGGTGAACCGACGTCCGCGATCCCCTCGAAAATAGCTACTTCGACAAATACTCAAAACAGTTAGAACACTGTAGGTTTCTCTCCGAAAAAAGAATAGTACTTTTCACTTTTTGTTTGTAAACCGCCACTCCCTCATGGAAAATCTGGATCCGCCCCTGAATATAAAATGAATAATAAATATTTTTCTCTATTACTTTATCCGATAGGAAAAAACCATATGGTTGTTTGTTCGAACATTTAAAAAAACATTTCGAATGATTTGTTATTGTTTTACATATATCATCCTCATTAAGTTGTAATTCCGATCGATCAATAATCATAAATTCGATATCAGAATCTTTAAAAGAATAAAATAAATTTTCATTGATTTATTTACAAAAGGAAATCCATTTCCAAGTTCAGATGTATGAAGAAACAAAGAATAATATATTTGACGTTGATCAATTGCATAAACATTATACCTAAAATAAATTTAATGAATATTTGAGAACAATGTTTTGTCTAGGTTTCGTTTGCTGGATGAGCGAATCGAAACCTAGGGTGAGCGGTGTTCATTTAGCGCCCGCCCGGACCGTCTCAAAATATACAGCTATTGTATTTTTTTGGATAGACGTCGCCTACCCGCTGGGTTAAACACTGTTTGAGGAGAAAACAAAAACAAAAAAGATTTTCTACCATAGATCATCCGTTCGGATACAATGTGTAATTAATTGACAAGTTTCATTCATACAATATTCACAACAGATTCCCTAGATGAAGGATAGAATTATTAGAGATTATGATAACCACAAAAAGCATATTGATTTGCATCTTTTTTACAAGTATTTTCTGTTGAAAAATTATAGAATATAATTTATTATTGATACTCTATATAAATATAAAAGATTGAGAAAAAAAAGTTGTTGATAATATCTTAAGGTATTCTAAAGGATATAATTCAATTGATTTAATATCTAAATGAATAATTTCTTTTCTATTCAAAATTGATGAGAATGTATTTGATATTAGGACAACTATTAAATTTCTTTCAACATAACTTTGTACGATAGAATTACATTGATTCTATAATAACAATATATTTATCGTTAAAAGAATATCTGTATATGAATGATTAAAGTGAAGAATATTTTGCATGGACATTTTCGTCCATATGTGTGTAAAATGTTTAATTTTCGGTGAAAAACTGAACTAATCGGTATCAACTTTTTAGAATATAAATTGTTAAAGCTCTGTCATCTATTGGATATCTCCTTTTTATCAAATTTTCATTTTTGCTTGAGAATGTTAACGTTTTTTTGTACATGAAAAAAGCTCATGTGATAGTATGATTCACCTATATATGTTATTTTTTTTGTCTTCTCATATATTATACCGTATACATGTTGTAGACATAGATATATATATTATTATGATAAAGCTTTGAATCATCTAAGTAAACAAAAAGCGAGTAGAAGTAGCAGCAAATGCTACAAATGCGGAATATACGTATCTAAAATGCATATTTGTGTGTGAAATGTGTGGCGAGAATCCTAATACGTCAGATTAATTGAATATATTAATGTTAAAGTTGACTAGAGCCAACGTTTTTAGGATTTATATTTATGGACAAAAATGTTCATGCATGGTATTAGAAGGGTTAGTATGGATGAGTTTATCAATGGTATAAACTATTCTTTAGTATTGGAACAGAAAGAATAATTCATTCTATTGATAAAATAAAATTTTTCTCTCCTTTCATTCTTTTATGTTTCTGTTGAGTATCTTTCTTTGTTATCTAACACAACGAAACTCTACTTGTTTAAACATAATAATGTAACCGTGAAGGTCTTTTTCTATAATAAATATCTTTTCAGTATGCCCTGTTTACCTTACTGGTGAGTGTGCCTGCTCATATTGTGTTGTCTACAAAAACAGAGTTTTGATAAACACATTCTCCTTTTTCATTAGTTTTATTTTACTTTCAAAAAAAAAATACAGAAAGAAGTTATAATTTCTTTTTTATGTTTTCGAGGTTTTTTCTCCATTGTTGAAGATCAGGATGATTTGTTGGTAATGATTGTTGTCCATTTTGTACAGCATGTTCATAAAATGAATGAGCTTTTGAATAATGTCCCATATTGTTATACACCAGACCGATGTTGTTATAGGAAGCACCCAGATCAGGGTGATTGGAGGGAAGTGATTGTTGTTGAATCTCAAGGGCTTTTTCATAATTAGAAAGTGCTTTTGAATAGTCACCCATGTTGTAATACACACTACCGATGTTGTTATAGGAAGCACCCAAATCAGGATGGTTGGAAGGAAGTGATTGTTGTTTAATTGCAAGAGCTTTTTCATAAGACGAAAGTGCTTTTGGATAATCACCCATATTCTTATACAGGACACCGATGTTGTTATAGGAAGCACCCAAACTAGGATGATTAGAAGGAAGTGATTGTTGTCGAATTGCAAGGGCTTTTTCATGAGATAAAAGTGCTTTTGGATAATCACCCATGCTGTCATACACGATACCGATATTGTTATAGGACATACCCAAATCAGGATGGTCAGAAGGCAGTGATTGTTGTCGAATTACAAGGGCTTTTTCATGAGATAAAAGTGCTTTTGGATAATCACCCATATTGTTATACACCAGACCGATGTCGTTATAGGAATTAGCCAAATTAATATCATTGGAAGGAAGTGTTTTTTGATAGATAGCAAGTGCTTTTTCGTAATATGCGAGTGCTTCTTGGTATTCTCCTTGATTATATTTGATCAAACCTTGTTGATGATAAATAAGGGCCTTTTTACTTTCATCCGTTGTTTGATGAAGTAAAACTTCATACACTTCTTGAGCCTTCTTAAACTGACCCATTTTAATTAGCAATCTACCTAATTTGAACCATCCTGTCGAATTTGAAGAAGTCTCTTGTCGTATACGATCAGTAAGAGTACGAAGATGTTGATCGTTGTCACTGGTCAATATTAAATTTACTTTATAAAGACGATTATTTCCATCCATTGGTTGAATATCTCCAATACGGAAAATTGTATGCATAGAGAAGAGAACTTCATCTTCTGTATGAAAATAACTAACATCACTAACACAAGCAAATGGAGTTGTTGAATCAGTAGGATTAATGGACATAACAAATAGAACTCCAACAAGATCAGGATTTGTAGCAGCTTGTTGTGCGAAAACGAGAGGAACATTACGATTTTTACTAGTTGATAAAAAGTTATTAAATGAAAGAAGTCCACCTTTTGTTTTTGTCATTTCGGTAAAATCTTCTTTCAAAAGTCCTTGACCACGATAAACTGTAAATGTTGTGCCTACTTGATGACCATCAAATTGTTTCGAATGTAGTCGTTGAATATCACGATGTAGATCATTAATAAAGAAACCCATTCGAACAAGCATATCAGCATCCATTGATCTTAATGCTTGATTGAGCATTCGATATAAAAATGCATCCCATGTATACCACCATATAGGTATGTTGTTTTTGTATGTTGTTTGTAATTTATTAACATTTTTAATTCATTTTCATCATCTTCATATACTTCATGACAATAAGTAATAAAATCCTTGAAATGTTTATCTCCGAACTTGATGGTTAATAAGATCTCTTTCAGGATCTGAGTATACATAAATGATGGATCTAATTGATCCAATTTCTTGTTTGATGCCACAAAGCTGATTGATGTGGCATTTTGCTCACATTGGTGAGCAGCTTGTTTAAGTGCTTCACAGATTGATGTTACATCTGTGAAGACTCCTTTTATTTTAGGCCATTCTTTGGCCCATTGTTTGTGCCGTTCTTGATTGTTACAAAAAATAAAAATGGTGTCTACTTGTGACATATCATGCACACAAGGCACAATATGTTTCCCAAGTGAACCAGAGACAATCATACATACTTTGTTGTTGTTAATAGTTTGAAGAAATTCAACACACTGGTCGCCATCTGTAAACGTGTTTACGTTGTTAACTACACGTTTCAGTTGTTTGATTGTATTACTACAATCAGCCTTATTTTCATTAATATTGTTGTCCAACCAAATAAGCAGGACATTTTGCATTCTTTGCATGTTCATATGTCGATTCACAGTTGTACTTGTCGAGAGACCAGATGTTTGCTCGATTTTTTTTGTGTCACTTGATTTGCTGGTTGCCATTGACTGTGATTATTTTTTATTTGTAATATAAATGTGTTGTACTTAACTTGCTTTGCTAAAATTTATGAATGAAAGAATTATGAAAGTTGCTCATTTTATAGTGTCTCTACTTCCTATCGAGATTTGTTTTTCTATTGTTTTCAATTGGACGACAATACTTCTTTTGTTAACAATTATGGATGTTGTTATGAAAAACAAGGAAGATCAACATAGATATTTATTAATAATAAACAAAGAACGCAAAAAGAGTGGTTAAGTATTTTTATGATTGTTAGCCCCTGAAATAATCCGCGAAGAAACTTTACGAAGTATTTGATGAAGATAAAAAGAATTTCCGAAGAATTTCTTCGTTCTGCTCTCATTTTTGATGTTGTTGCAGATTTATAAGTTGGAAATTATTTTATTGTCGTATATATTATAGTTCGTAAAAATTGACAAGACAATGCATTCAAACATAAAACACTTATATTATTTTTTATGGTCAGATATAATCTATGGTCTTTTTTATTGCAAACTGAGTTTTAGCAAAAAAACGACTCTTTTCTATGGAACTTGCAAGTTGTGCGGGTATTCACACAACGAGTCACTTCGTTTATGGTGATGACATAACAATCTTCAGTTATTCAACACTGTACCCACCATTATAATCATCCTCGCAACTGAAACGCCATTCCATGTGTCACACGCAACTACTAGCTTTGCTAAAACACATCTTAGTATCTATATTATCATATATATATCGTATATAGCCTCCATTTTTATAGAGTGCGTGTGAATGTGAGGTTGATGGTTGTTGGTGTAGATGGGTGAACGAGGGTGTTGGTGTGAGTAACAATCTGTTCCTTATGAACATCTGCAGTCACAGCTACACACATTCTCGATTGTTCTTTATCTTCTTTTTATTTTAATGAGTCACAGATGACGCGTATGCATGTTCTATAACTTATATAATATTATCAAAAATAACTCATAAATGTTTCTTTACGTATTATTTATTTCCATAATAATCAGATGTTTGAAATAAACAAATTAACTATAATACAATCATCTAATTGACTATTCTTACCTACTTGCCACTGGATAATAATCAGGTGTAAACTTTTGTAACACTTTACATCTTCTTAATTATATTATAATCTTCTGTGATAGACATTCACATATTTATTTTTACTTGTCAGTTTCATAAATGATTTTTTATCTTACAAAAAGCATTGACAAGTATCTGCAACTAGATGAGAAAAATCTGTTGAAGGTATTTCAATATCATCTAATTTTGAAGAAATCAATAAAACATAGAAAACAAGTTGATCGTGTACATTTTAAAATTTTATGTTGAGCCAAAGTTCATTGTTTTGATAATCAATATGTTTGTGTTATCTTTTAGAAGTAGCCTATATTCTACTAAAATTTATTTCTGAAAACTATCACATATTATCTTATGAAACATTTGCATAAAGAACTTAACTATATAAAATTATTCAAATTTCTCAAATTAAAGAATAACTCATTGGCATGTAATGATATTGTCATACAATTTTCATTTTTATATGTAACCAACTTTTTCCACTTGGGTTAAAGCAATAAGAAGAACGCAATTTATTTATAAACAACCATTCTCTTCACTATATATAACAGTAGAATTCGAATTAATTTTTTTATCAAATTATTAATATAATTGCACATCAGTGTATGTTTTTTTAATTTTCAATATCTTGTATGTGTGCATTGTATAAAGTATATTTGTATTTTATCGTGAGATTATATTTATGTTGAGCTTACAGTTAGCGATATTTATGGACGAAAAATATGTGATAATCAGTATTTTTGAATGGTTTGAACCTATGACTAAAATAAATTATGACTTAGTATTAGAAAATAAAATAGAATTTGTGTTACAAAGTATTTAGTCTACACATGTGTTATTTTTATCACTTTTTCATGTATAGAACTTTTTGCGTCTACTGTGCAGTGTCATTACATGAAAGTACTCTTCTGACAAAATGTTATGTTTAATCTAGTACATCAAATAAAGTTATGAATTTTGTAAATAAAACGATTAAGAGAATACATGTATTGAAACGTGATAAAGTTCATAGTAATTCAGAGTGCTAAGCTATTGGTATCATTTATATTTTTTATGTACAAATAAGAGCAAATAGTGCATCCAGAGACATTACTAAAATACTCACACTGTATCTGATTAAACCATCCATGATTTCTCTTTTTAATAATTTTAAATCAAATATTTCCATTAGACAATAATAAAAACTGCATCATAAAATAGAATTTACTACAATAACATGCGAAAAGAATTATTTTATTAAACAATTAAACATACATTCAACATATATATTGGATTATCTTAGCAATGATGTTTGAAGTATATTTTAAAATACGATAGTTTCGAGAACTCCGAAAATATAGTCTTTAAGTGTTTCGAAATTCGTGAAAACGGCGATTATAAGTTCAGGATAATTCGCTTAAAAATTTACTCATTGTTTTATTTGAGTAACTGATAATATATAAAAAATCATAAAGATAATGTAACATTCAATCGATATTCGAATAGATGGGATATATTCTTTTAGGAAAGATATAGTTGGTTCTCACTAATAAAAATAATTAATGTAGCGAATAATATTTTAGATAGATTATTAATATAAAATCGAATAACTTCTTTTAAAGAAAAGAAACGAGAACGAATATAACTAATGAAGCAAAAATAATTAGACATATCATAACAATAACACATATCAAACGTTCATGATATTTTTCCATCATATTATAATATTTATGATAAAATTAAAATTAAAAAAATTATTTTAACAGGACCATGAAGTAGTAATTTGTTCCGAAAGATTTGAAAATCAGAAATGTCAAGATGTTGTTGATTAATATAATATTTACTTAGTTATAACCCAAAAAGCATGGATAATACCGATAATATAGAATCCGATAATAGTTAAAAGTAAATTAATTAAAACTTGATTATTGCATGCATTTTGATGTAAATAAACAGCTAGTGGTGGAATAAAAAAAGCAAGAACAAGTAACATAATATCGGCCATATCTAAGTTGCTACTATTAACGTTTAAATTCTCTTAAATACGAAAAATGAAAGTGAGGTTTTCTGATCAATTTCTTTCTTTCGTTATCATCATTTTAAACGGGGGACAAAAGACGCTAAAGAAAAGGAGATATGACAAGATTTATTTAGATGAAATGGTAAATTACTATATTATCTTGTTCTACATTTATGATAAAACTGCAATAAAAAATAGATGCATTTTAAATGAAGAAAAGATCATCAGCCTGAGCGCATCGAAGTAAAAGAGTAGTTGATCATCGCGCCATATTCTGTACGCTTAATAAAATAAGGAGAAACAAAAATGTATAGATTCTCTCTTCTTAAACATCATCGAAAATTTTCAAGCATCAATGAATCGCAGTAGCTAATAGACAGAAAAAAGAACAAGAAATACAGAGCATTACATTATTTTGATACTTCCCTTCATTGCTATCGAAGATATTCTTATATAATGCCATTTAGAAGTTATTAGCTAAAACATTATTATATATTAATCTATTTTAACAGTAATAAATTGCTGGCGTCTTTTAAAGCATAGAGCATATTATAAATAGAAGAATAAAAAAAAGCTAAAGACAGTAATGAAATTTATAGATTATTGTGGTTCATAGAACAAGATTCTTCTCATTTTATATTTCTAATAGAAGATAACATATAATGTCTTTTTTGATTGTTGTGTTTGCAAGGATCTTTTTTTAGTCCATAATTGAACGTACTCAGTAATAGAGAAAATTGATAATCACTTTTTTGAAAGTTCAGTAAATCATTCAAATATGCTTGATTATAAAATTCATGCTGATGACTACCATGTTATAGGCTAAGAATCTATCAATAAAAATAGAACTTACTGTTTTGCTTATCTTTCTATCATACAATATTTCATAAGAGATAGTAACTACTTTTCTCTTGAGTAAATCTTGTAAAGTGAAACGTCTCAAATTATTTCCCTTTGCAAGTTATACTCATATGAAATATAATATAACTGAGAGATATGATAGGAAAGTTTGTGTCTGAGTGGTAGTGAGATTAAGAATAAAATATCAATATTATACACAAATAAGTATGTAGCTTTTATTTTACTTCATTGTTCATTATAATAGGAACTGTGTTATTATAAGAGTATATGAGATATTAAAAATAGTAGAATGGACCGGAAAGAAAAGCTAATATCACAAACAGAACATAAAGCGTATAGAATATATTCCAACAATTAAAAATACAAAAATAAATCTAAACATTAAAACAACGTGTAAAATTAGATAACAAAAAAATATATATTTCAAAACCGGATTCAATTAATGTTTAACACGTTTACGTTTTCCATTTGTATGATTAGTGTCAGGTGGTGTTCCATCTGTTGATGTCGTTTTAGTTTCTGTCACTGGATTATTATCATTGTCATCTTCATTATCATCACATGCAGAGCGTTTAGCAGTTTTCATAGTTGGTGGATACATTATATTATTAACTCGTGTTGTATTGTCATGATCATCAGCTAACCATGGATGTTTAAGTACATCGGCGATAGTTAAACGCTTGACGGGATCAGTACACATCATTTTACGAATAAGATCTTTCGCTGTTTCAGATACATCTGACCAAAATTCATCAGGAAATGTATAAAGACCTTGAACAATTTGATCATTTAGCGGAGTTCCACTAGTTGATTCACTAAATGGTGGATAACCAACTAAACATATATATAAAATAACACCTAAACTCCAAACATCAACTTTATTTGTATAACTCGATTCACCACGTGTTGATAAAACTTCTGGAGCTAAAAAAGAAACGAACGGTTATTAAACAAATATATTTAATTTTCTATTTCTTACCTAAATAATTTGGTGTACCACAAAATGTTTTCATCAATGTTGTTTCATTAATAAATCTTGATAGACCAAAATCAGTTATTTTAACTAATGTTTCATTTGTATCTGGTAATGTTAAAAGAACATTTTCTGGTTTTAAATCTCGATGTGTTATAGAACGATCATGTAAATATTGAACACCAATACACATTTGTCGAAAAAGAAATTTACTTGTTATTTCATCAAATTGACCATTTGCTACAACACGATCAAATAATTCACCACCTTCAACTAATTCAAGTACAATATAAACAGCATTCGGTGTATCATAAACATCATAAACACGAATAATACATGGATGATCAAGTCCATGTAAAATTGAACATTCCGATTGAATTTGTTGATTGAAAGAATGTGCTTGGGCACCCAAAAGTGTAAAATGCTTTTTTGCAATTATTTTCATTGCAAATCGATTACATGTACCTAAATAAAGATTATAATACTATTTTTTAATAGAGGAAAGTTTTCTATACCTCGAATAAAACATAATTTAACTTCTCCATAAGCACCACGTCCAATTTCTTTTGATATAATATATTTTTCACGTACATTAGGTGGAATAGTTGAATCTTCAATTGCATTTGTATCAATATAAACATAGACACGATTTGTTTTTGATGCTAATGCAATTTCAGCATTATTATCAAGAACATGTCGTTTATTTTTACCAACTTTTTCTCCATTAACATATGTACCATTGGATGATAGATCTTGTAAATAAACAAATTTTTTAATTGTATCACGAATTATTTTAAAATGTGTTGATGAATATGTTGGATAATATTTTGATGCTTTGATTTCTTTTGAATCAAGAAATATTGAAGATTTTTTACCACGACCTAATGAATATTCATTTTCAATTAGATTCATTGATGGAAAAAGTTTATTTATTGATAAGAGTCGACCCCAAATATTCGAATCTTCATCATTATTTTCTTCATCGAGTAAATTATTAGCAATATCACCATATTCCTGTGTTGTTTGAGTTTTTTGTGCGTCGTTCTATGATATAAATAGATAAAATTAATTAATTAATCTATGATTATTTCAATTTAAACTAACCATCGTAGTTAAAATCGTGACATACAACTAAAACAACTCAAAACTCAATACGTGAGTCAGGGTTGCACCATCACATTCACGGAGAACAAAACACCAATCAAGTACGATAAACAGAGAGCATGCAAGTGACATCTTTTTCTAACGTAAAGTATATATAACTATACACGCTATAAACTTGAAGATTTTAAACTCATATTGAAGACTCATTTTTTTTGATCAATACAAATGATCTTTACTAAACTATATACGATTGTTATTATAACCGATTAGTAAATAACACTTAGTACTAATGAATTTCAGAAATTGTTCATCTCATTAAACATCTTTTGTAAGCATTAATGAAAAAATACTGTTATATTTATAAATAACATGAACTTTTTTATAACTATTATCAATCGAATAATAATCTCTCTCTCTTCAATATAATCCAACTGATATGATATAAAACACTGATTTGTACTTATTTCATGTACTTTATACAATCATTTATGTAATAGTTGTGAATTTCAACATATGTTTGATTATATTCACTTACTTTTACTCTATTCATTTGAGAAATAAAAGGATAATGATGAACAGTACCATTAATTCTCATCAAATAATATCTTCGAATTTGATTATTTCAAAATTAACACCAGTAGCATACGATACAACTGGTGCTATAATATTTATTATTGTTGTTTTATTTTGGTACTCAATGGGTATTATTTGTATGTTAGGTATGCAAATAAAAGCACGAAATGAAACTGTTGAAGATTATGCTAGACGTCGAGCTAAATTATTAATTGAAACTCTTCGAGATCAAACGCATACAAAACAAATACTTGGTACTAATTTGTTCATTTGAAAAAAATATATATTCCAATAAAAAATTTTTTTAGAAGAACTTGTTGATAAACAAAAACGTGACAAACTTTGGGATATTTATTTAGGTACATCTGATAATAATAATGATAAATTAATACGTGCTGAAGTACTTCGTATAAGAAATATTGAAAAACAATTAGCTGTTATTAATAAAAATCATCTATGTATGAATGAAAGTTTAATGTTCTCAACGAAACATTCTGATTCACAATCAATGATTTCTTCAGATTTAACATCAACGGAAAATCGAGTTCGTATTCGACGTCGTTCATCATTAGATCAACAAATAATTGAACGATGGAAAAATATTGTTGAACAATGTATAAAACATGAACAATTACCATGGACAATACAAAAATTAATGATTCGTCGACATTTTCGACGACATTATAAAGATATGTTACGACAAACTGAACCGAGAAATATGTCAATGCATAATAAACAATATCATTCAGTTCAAAATTCTCCAGTTTTAAATGTTAAATCTAATCATCATATTATTCAACTTGATAATGATGAATATGATTGAAAAAGAACTTACAAAAATAACAAAATATACATCGACTTCAATTTCGAATTCTTTTTAATGAAATAGTATAGAAAAATAATCGATTTAAATAAATAATGATAGAATAGTATTCATGTTCAATCTTCTCATGTTAATTCTATAATTAGGAGATAGACGTACGAAGTGAAAACTTATAATATCGAGACTAAGATAGATAATGGTTAAAGTAATACTTTATAGTAGTAGAAGATTAGCTAGAATCGTACAGAAGGATCAAATTTCTATATACGTCTTAACTCTTATTACAAATTCTTAAGAACTTGTAAACTGAGTAGTACTGCTAGCAAGTCAACCTTTATAATATATTACAGACGTACGCATTCTGTAAATTTAAATATCTCATTCGATCATAGTATCTTTATTTATATATTGATTGAATAGTAGTGGATTCATCTCGTTACGAAAATAATGTATATTTTTTATTTGGTACTCGTCATTTCACTATAGTATCTCATACGACTTGGGTAAGAAGTTAGATGAACTACTTTTTTTCTTAATTAATAAGAAAATTCTACAACTGAGCTGACTATATGATAGTTGGTATAAAAATAGTTCTAATGGAATTTTTTAGTATTATGACAATGAGTTATTATTTTTTTCTACAGTTATTATAAATATTATGCTACTATTCTAAAGATTGTTATTGTGTTTGCTATTTCAATTTGTATTGAACTGTACTATCTGAAGAAAACATGGATGTGAGTGTAGGTTACAGCTAGACTCATGTCTCATCCACTATCAATTACACCCCACACCTAGATTTATTTCGTTACATCATAATTTTAATGAGAGAGATGGAGTCTGTTAACGTCAGTGATCATTTCGATTCAGCTGTTTCCACTGTCGTATATGTCATTAACTGATATCTTTATAGAGCAAAAACGAATCCTTGTTGAAACAGTATTTTTAATAGGTCTGCTATCATTGACACCCCTTTCACATTCATTTGATTCATACATTAGTTTTTGTATATTATATAACTAGGTCATAAGATTGCCTGATTTATTTTTTTATTTCTTTCTCTTCCTTGTATTTATATGCTGCTGTTATCTATTCTTTTTATTCTATACTAAAAGAATGACAATTACTTCCATACTCAACTACTTCATGAAAAAATGATGATAAAAAACAAACGAAATCTGCTTTAAATGATTTATTAAATCATAAACTATTATTATCATCAACAATGACTATATACTACTATAAAAGATATCGTTGTATATAAAACTATTCGATTTTGAGTGTAATTATATTTGCGCATTGTTTTATATATATATATATCAATTTTTCGCTCTATCGCATGTGTACGCGCACATATGTAATAAAAGAAAAATAACAATGACTTTGAGAAAGATAAAAAACCTTACTCAATATAAAATCTAATGAATAAAAACCTTTTATTCAAGTATTTTAAAAGTTCAACTATGTATATAATTAAAAAAACGAAAAGAATTGAAGTAGACTATTGTTGTCTTTAGATTTAAATGTTAATCACAAAGAAGAAAAAAAAATCATACGATGCTTTAGACAATGAATGACGTCATATTTCGTAGACTTTAATTGTCATAAAACGTAAAGAATAATAATCTATAGTTTGTCAAGTATCGTCATATTTTTTCCTTTTTCTTTTCGTCAAAACACGATTATTGACCCATCTTTATAAAAAAAAACTTATACAAC